ACCCAGGAGCAAAACCCCAACCCCATCCAATCACTATGGTCTTAACCTGTGCAGTAATGGTCACAACATATTTTCTTTATTATTTACTTTATTTTTTGCTTGCACAGATTATTTCATATATCTGTGTAATTTTTCATCTACTAGTGACATTCACAAACTTCAGATGCCTTAATTAAATGGAGAGCCGGACAGGTATCTCACGCCCATCAAGCAATCCCTGTCATTGGCTGACAGGCACAAGAGGCCAGTACAGCTTTCCGTTTCAGGTGTCTGAAACATTTTTGAATATAAGCAACTGTCCTAAGAACTTGCCTTGTGATATTATCCATATATTTTCTGTAACTTATTGCAGTTATGTAAATGTATCCCATGTTCTAACTTCCAGAAAAAAATGTAAAAATCCTGGATATTTATTTTGCCTGTATTTAATAACCAATGAAAACTGGGACAATATACTGGAAATAATGGCAGCATTGGGTAATAATACACCAAGACAAAGTTTTTTTAACCCATTGCTGCCGGGGAAAATTAAATAAAAATGGGGAAAAGGCTGTGCTAATTTTTAATATTTTTTTTGTGAAATGTCTATACACATAGATAGCTCAGCTAGTGCTTAGCCTTACCTGATTTAACCTTTCCTTGAATTGGTGGGAAAATGTATTTTTTACTTGTGCTATGAATATCAATGGTGTTATTTTTATCATAAACATTAAAATTACTATAATGTTACAAATATTAGTAATGGCAAAATAAGATAAGATAACGTAAAATACTTTGGTAAATTAACCCATTCGTGACGGGTAAAAATGAACAAAAAACGGGGAAAATACTGTACTCATTTTTTATATTTTCTAATGAATTGTCTCTACACGAGATGGCTCTGCCTTACCTGATTTCACCTTTACATGAATTGGCGGGAAAATGTATTTTTATTAGTGCTATGATTATCGATGGTTATTTTAATTATGAACATTATCATTACTATAAAGTTATAAACGTTTCTAACAGCAAAATAAGAGAACGTTAAATATTTTTGTATATTAAAGAAAAGGGTAAACAGGCAAGACAGGCAGTACAAGTACAAGTGTAGCCATATATGTGTAAAAACAATTAACCCAATGGTGACGGGTGAAGAAAACGGGGGGGGGGGGGGGGGGGGGGGGGAATATGTTCTGACAAACAATGGCGGTGTGCCGGCTTTGAGTGCGTGAATTCAGTACATCTGCCCGAATCACTGGTTCGCCGCCATGGCGTACAGCTGCACTCCAGTTTCGAGCGGTTTGTTTTCATGCGTCACCCGTCGTTAAGGGGTTAAACAAGCAAACTCACAGTGGGCATGTCAAGTATATGTGACACCCGGCGTGAATGAGTTAAAGAAAAGGGTAAATGGGCAAGACAGGCAGTACTCATAATTGGCTCATTGGTGATTTGGTACAAGTGTAGACATCTATGTTTAAAAACAATTAAACAAGTAAACTCACAGTGGGCATGGCATGTATGTACATGCCATGTCCGTCGGGAATGAGTTAAGACAATGTTCAAAGGTGCTATACGTAACTGAACATCTTGTTACATTGCGAAGATGCATACAACACTGACCTCATGTCATTATTGAGACATTTCAAGTAGTTCATGTATAACCACTTGCTGGTGAAAAGGATTATTTGGAAAAGATCAATATCTGCTTTTCCACATCTATGCATTTAACTATTCTTTTAACTGAATTGCCACCTATGGTAAGAATACATGCCATGACCAATGTAATACAAGTTTATTTATTGTATTTACAAGAAGATGATTCTACAACTGCTTAGTCACCAAGGAATCGGTTATTAGTTCTACCTGTCTCACCTGTTTACCATTTACAGTGGTTTTTTTTTGTTTTGTTTTTTGTTTTTTTAGTTTTCTTCACCCGACATCAAGGGGTTAATAATTAGAACATCAATAATAATGATAAGAGTATCAATGTCAACTGTATTGAAAAGAAAAACACATTTTCCTGTCAATTCAAGGAATGGGAAAATCAGGATCGGTCACTAGGGATACTCATAGACTCCTTGCCAGCTGATCTCATGTGGAGCCATCTGTATGTAACAACATAAAAAAAAAGAAAGAAAACTTCTGGGGACAGAACATAAATCCAGGGTGATTGGGTTATGTTATGATAATTCTTTAAAATGTTTTACCATAGATTTATTTAGTTCTTTACAATAATCTTCTAAATATATGTTATCACAACTAGGATTTTTGACAGCACTGAAAAAAACACCATTTCTTGATAAATGCAGGCAAGAAATGCTCTGTTTTCAGTGTTGTTTCAATTCTGTCTTTCTTAAGACAATGCAGTAGCTATGAAGAAAGAATAGACATTAGTAACCATGAAAGTTTGACTTGATAACCAGGCTTATCAAGTGTTCCAATATGTCCAAAGAAGGGATTACAGACAATGAAATTCAGACAATGGCACAAAAATATCTGAGGTTTTCACTAAACAAAGGTA